TTCTTATTCTTCTTCCTCCTCCTCTTGCTCTTCTTCCTCCTCTTCTTTCTCTTCCCCTTCTTCCTCCTCTTCTCCTCCCCCTCCCTTCTTCTTCTGCCTTCTCCTCCCCCTCCTCCTTCTCCTTCTCTATCTTCTCCCAAAGCCACAGTCTTCTACCTTCAGGGGAAAGGTGAATGGATGAATATGACCTCCCAGGAAATGTCCTTCCTCATCCAAATCCACTCCCAGCACATTTCAGAGGCACTTTCTTAGTTTCACCAGAAGTTCCAGCTCCTTCCCTCTGTCTGAGGGTTGGTGTGAGAGAGATGCAAAGGCCTCACTGTCCAGCTAGTTCCTTGGGGGCCTCCACAACCATACACTTGACAGTGAAGAACCCACCTGTCAGAGAAATCTGGTTTTCAGAACAGATGTTCTTAAAATGGATGAAAGGGAGCTCTGGCAGCTTGTTGTTGAGTACTTGCTTGTCTGAACTGACCCACAGCTGACTCTGAGGTTTTCAGAGACTGTAAGTCACACCAGAGGAAATTGTCCATCCTTCTCCTGCTAAGCAACTAGTAAATTAGAACCACCTACCTTTGGGTTGGTAGCACAATTCCTTACCACTCTTCACAAAAGTTCACAAATCCAGCAGCCATTCTGCTGGATAAAGTTGGACAATGTTCTCCCGTGTGATTTATTTCTTCTGAAAACCCTCCGGAGGATCAGCTACGGGTGGGTTCAGACTCAGAGATACTCAACAACAAAATCAAAGAAAGGCAGTACTGTATTGTTGTTAGAACCAGGACCAAGGGAATATTTTGAAATCACACCCTGAGAGGTACTTTTGCAAAGTCCCAGAGGACAAAGCCTTTCCCTAGAGAGACCTCCAAGGTCTTCAGTACACAATCTGAGTGGTCCAGAGATCAGTCTCTTGCTGAGAGTTTGGCTTTCAATCAGCAAATTCTGTATGCTTGGACCTATTGCCATTGTCACTTTTCTGTCTTGCACACCAACCTAAGGTTTTTGCTGCCTAAGGTGTAACTTTGTAGGGGATGTTGAAGCTTCAAATTCTTCCTACCTCAGAACTTTGGTCCAACTGGGGGGCCCTGGTGGCACAGGCTGAAACAGGGACCCTCTGGAGCCTTCTGACTGGAGAAACAGAGAAAGGAGAGGGCTTAGGGGCAAGGGCTTCAGGGACTGACCATCTTTTCCTCTTCACTCTCTTGTTCATGGAACTAAAACAGAATGGAGGAATGTCCTACATGTTTCTCAGAAACATTGCTGTCAAATTAGATAAGGTCCCAACAGAAAACGCAGTGTGTGTGTTCTTCCAGTGCCCTGATCCAGTGCAGGGGTGGTCTGGAAGCCCAGCATAATGGACTCCACAACAGCTCAGTTACCCTGTCAGCAGAGGAGAGTGTATCACTTCCCCCAGAACTCTAGTCTTGGCAGTGAAGTAGACATGCGTCCAGGCTACTTTCTTTTTGGTCGGCCCTAAGGTTGGTCTCCATCTTCCTTGTCTTCTTTCACCCTTTGTGTTCCCACATGTTAACTTCTAGGAAAATTCAGAGCAGGAAAAAGAAATTAACTAATCAATCTTCATTTTTAAAAATAGAGAATGAGAAGGGAAGAACATCAGGAGAGTTTCTTATCCTGTGCAGCCCTTCAAATGGCCCAAAAGATGTGGGGCTCTCTGCTGAGCAGGCGTCAGATTACCAGATCCAAACCAGGGTGTGGCTCTCAGAGCACATTATCTGACACTGTCCATCACATCTCGGGCTCCGCTGAGGGCCTAGTGGAACTGAGCCCACACAGCTGAGGTTTCCTACCATCCTGGAACAGCATCTTGTCCCTTTCAGAGGCGGTCAGAGTTGGGATTCTGTGCCCCCTTCAGTGGCGGTAGGGACTTACCCAGGTTTCCTGTCCTGGAGGGCTCTTTCTGCAAGTCCCGAGGGACTTGTGGCACGTTGGAACCCACCCTCCCCTCTGGAAGGCACAACCGTTGCCCCGTTGCCCCGCTCTGCCTTGGCCTCAGACGGACTGCTGTGGGGGCGGCTGGCTCCAGTCTGTGCTCCCTGCTCAGGCGAAGAAAATGGCTGGGAGGGGGTGGGGAAGAATGTCTCACCATCTTTTCTCAGAACATTGGCAGAGAGGGCACGCAAGTGACAGCACTAGGGAGAGTATCTCCGCTTACTACCCAGCTTTCCAGACCTAGGATGCAGGGAGGAATGCAGTGGCAACCAGGGAGGAATCTCGGCCCCTCGCCAACTGAGAGAGGGACACAGAATGAGCACTGGGGAGCTCCCTGATGGACATGGGGAGAAGGTGAGAGAGGACAGCCCTTTACCCAGAGACCTAGCTTTCCAGAATCGGCTGCAAATTCTTGAGAATTCGATGCTTTAGCTCCTCCCGAGAGAGGATTTCTAATTTTCCTCAGGGCTTAGAGGGATGTCTCCAAACAGGGAATGCTGGAGTTGGCTCACAGAAAGCGGGGTACACAGGCTGCTACCCCTCTCCCCTAGGGCTGTCCTGATGCCTTTGCTGAAGCCCCTCTCCCATCAGTTTGATCTTATAAGCAAGGAAAACTCCACCCCTGACATTCCTGCCCACACTGGAATCACCCCCGACCAAGACCAACCGTTTAGTTTGAGGCCTAGCCTTCCCACTAACTGGCTGGTGACCCTGGTCCAGAGTCTCATTTGAGTTTCCCATCCATGTGTGGAGAGAACAGTACCCCCACAAATACCAGGTCTTTGTGCTGTGATGCTGGACTCACCAAAAACACTGTTGAACACTAGCCCTACATCCAGCCCAGAGTGGAGGGACGAGGCTTGTCTGGTGGAAATGCTGCAGAAATGCAGAGCTATCTGCCAAAGGTAGATCGGGCATTCCTTAAGTTTGTTCAAACTAAGGGCCCAGAATATATCCGGTGTGGGTCTACAAACCTCTAATGCCTCTTCAGTTGCCAAGCTGATTGACAGAGCACAGGTATTTAGCAGTCACATTTTGGAATCTTAGTTCCACTATGCTTATTTGCAGGATCTCTCTACACAAGTGAGATAAATTATTAGACCTTTACTTGCCATACTTTTGAAAAGGTGAAATTCAAATAAAATATTCTTGTGTACTCTTCGAGTCAAAACTGACTTGCCAGAGGGTTTTCAGAGGCAAAAAATTACAAAGGAGGAGATTGCCCATTTTTCTCCTAAAGAGAAAATCCTAAAGAGGATTTGAACCGTGCCTTGGCAGTGCAGCTGCCTATCACTGTGCCACCAGAGTTCCCTTAAATATGACAAGGGTAAGTCATTTGACTGACCTTGGCAGGGAGAACACACAAAAACCGGCTCCTCAGACTTCCGCGCCTGGTGGCACACTTTCTTTAATTTGCATGATGCTGCAGAGTTTCTTCAGTTTCTCAGAAACGTAGTCTGGGTTTGTAAGGCTAAATTAACTGATTTGGGGGCTGAGTTTAAGCACGTGAACACTAACTAGCCACCTTTCAGGGAGAAAGGCGTGGACAGCTGCTTCTGTGAAAATGTACAGCCTTGGAAACTGTGTTTCTCAGGTAGACAGTCCTCCAGCTGTAAGCTGCCTACATTTATGTTCTGGCTGTGTGTGGGAAGATGGAGACATTTGCAAAAGAAGCCACCAGCATGGCGTGAGAGAACAAATGTTTCTCACATTCTCACTGCTCAAATCTTCCTGACTCCTGAGGGGATCTGTTTCAGAATCTTGCTTGGTCATTTTCAGTGACTGGTAAAATGGTCATCTCTCCCCCAGAAACTCACAAGCCAGCTCTGAACTCAGCTTGGAATGGAGAAAAGAGACTGAATCTCTCAAAGGAGTGAGGACCTGCTCTGCTTCTTACCGTTCTCACTCTGAGTCCTCGGCCAACCCGGCTGGGGAGGGGCGGGGGTGGCGGGGTGGCGGGAGTGTAGCTAAAGCTTAAAGGCTGCAGGGAAGGAAAGAAGGGACAAGGCTGGAAAGAAGGGCCGCCGCGAGATGCTTTCGCTGCGGCTGCCCTCGACCGACCGAGTGTCCCGCGGCGCCTTACATTAACCTTGGAAAATAAGGACTGGGGCCGGCGCCCGGCTGCACGGACTGACTGGGTGCCGAATTGCCACTCTAGTGGTGCCTCTACGGGAACCGCGAGTCCTCCTTTTCCCGTCCGCATCACGAAGGGCTGGCAGAAACTAGGATAGTCGGTTCTCCAAGATCCAGGAGGCCAGCCCAGTTTTCTGCGCTCCGGGCAGAAAACTTCAAGAAGCAGCCTTGCTGTGGGCCAGGCCACAGCCTGCGCCTCTTTCTGCTGCCCCTGTGCACGCTGGCGAGCTGCGCTGCAGGCTGGGAAGAGGAATCACCCCTGTCCACGAGAGAAATAAAACGATGGCAAAGCAGCAGCAGCTGGACGCTGGCCAGCCGCGCCCAAGGAGTTGGTCGTCAGGGTGCTTACCGCCAGCAACTCGCTCACTCCGTCGCTCTTTCTCCCTCCTCCCCGCACCAATCTAGAAGCTGCAGTGCCAATCCCTGTTGTGCCATAAAATATTTTATTGGGGGGAAAAGTCACCGTCTTCAAAAGAAAGGAGTAGGGGGCACCAGCGACGTCTAAGACTCGAGATGGAGTTTCTGAGTTGTCTTGGGCCATAGTGACCACCGCCCGGCTACACCCGGAAAGGCGTGAAAAAGTAGGTGTGTGATGAGCCCTTTCTGGTGTCACCAGGGTCAGCTGAGCGGGGCGAGGTGCGGGCGAGGTGGGGGGCGTGAGTGTGCTTAGAGGCCGGGAGCATTCCAAGTGGCAAACGAGGAAAACAGCTTCCACCACCTTGGAGCCGGCTCATGGGCCAGGGGCGCGCTGGGGCCTGGGTTTGACTTCATGGTCTTGTTTGCTTCATTTGCCTCCTAACTGTCCGCAATGAAGGTCAAACATTTAGAAACAAGCGACATGGATGTGGACTTGCGGGCCCGGCTGGCGGCCTTTATAAAGCAAGGGCCGCTCGGGGACCCGGACTCCGCGTGGACGCTCAGTGATCGCAGCTCCGGTCCCTGGGCTCTCCAGGCGCCTCTGCCGGCTTCTCCAGCTCCTTAAAGCGCTCCTGCTCCGTGAGCTGCTCGCTCGTGGGGATGGAGTTCTTCTTGGGCCGCCCCTTGGGCTTGGTGGGAGACTCGAGACCACCGCCCTGGAGCACCTGCCGGGGGAGAGCACCGTCCGTGGTGAGCTCGGGCACCACCTTCCCCTGCCCCGGGAAGGGCAAAGGACCGTGAAAGGTCATCCGGGCCGTGCTCAGCCTTGGGGGTGGGAAAATAGGGGAGGGCTGGGACCTTGGTTTTCGGAGTGTCCCCGGGAGAGACTTTTAGAGACCCGCTTCGAGGTCCGGGCTTCCAGGAAGCTGGGAGTGCAACGCGCCAGGAAGAGATGTACGTTCTTTGCCCGCACCAGGAGAGTAAAATAGGGGCAACAAGGGCTCCAAACACTGAAGGAATTGGGGTTGGGCAGGAGACCCCATACCGTTGGGAGAAGAGGAAGAGAGCAGGTTGGTGGGACCCGGGGCTGAGGGAGCGCACTCACTATTTTCTTCCACTTCATCCTTCGATTCTGATACCACGTCTTCACTTGCAACTGGCTCAGGCCCAGAGACTCGGCCAGATCTATTCTGAGAACCAGCAGGGTACACCCTCAGCGGGACCAGTGGTACCCCTTCCCACTATCTTCTACCCCAGCTTGGTTTTGTCCTACCTGTCTGGTGTGGAAAGGTACTTCTGTTTCTCAAAGCGCTTCTCCAGGCCCATCAGCTGCAATTCAGTGAACACTGTTCGGCTTCGGCGTCCCTTCTTGGCCTTGGTAACTGGCTCTCCTGGGCCTGGCGCCTCCAGCTTCCCTCGCAGCTGCAGCTCCAGCGGCAGGTGTGGTGTGCCCGAGGCAACCTGCAGCCCAGGGCCAGCGGCAAGCAGTGCAGACCCTAGCCCAGAACAGCTGAGCGGCGCCAAAGGAAACTTGAACACAGCAGCTTGTTCAGCCTTTAACACTGCTGCAGTGGGTAGAAAACAAGAGATTAAGTGGAGTGAGAGATATGCTTGGGTGGGCTGTGTTTCCAGTGCAATGTGAAAGGCCACCCCATACTATTCTCCATAAAGGTAGCGTGGCCAGAGTTAACAAGCATAAAACCTTCACTTTGCCACAAATTTGCACCATCCACTGGAGGCCATCCTCCTCGGAGTTTAGAAAGGAGAATCTCTCCCAACCCGTGCTTTGCCCTACATTCTGCTGCCCCTGATATATAGGGGTTATGGGTTAATAATTTTGCAACTCCGAGAAGAGACAAGTGTGTCTGTGTGGAAAACAGAAACCAAGAAGTAAATGAGAAGAAGGGATGTTTGCTCCAAATAATTAGCATTTCTGCTGGAGGTGGGTGTTCAAAGGGAATTAAGGAGTATACATATCTGGTATTCTGTATGTACGTAGCAGCTACTGCAAAGGCCAGTCTGGCAGTGGGCATGGGATGGAAGCTTCCCATGAATTTTAAAGCACTCCATGAACTGAGAAATTGTTCTTGATTTCTCTGTGTGCAGACTTCTTCTGTTAAGATCTTTCCTTTTTTTTTTTTTTTTTTACTTGTGTGTATATGTGTATCCCGCTTCCAAGGAATAATTTACCCACCGAGAGGTCTAAGGCTGAGTCAGAACTGAACTCAGAAGAAACCACTGGCCTTATTGTGCTGCTTGGGCCGAGCGCTGCCTAAGAAAGTCCCAGGGACTATTGTAGAGGCCACAGCATAGGAGGCTTCCCCCAGCAGGCATCTCACCCAAGGTCAGCCCCTAGCCCCATCCGAGTAGGCAAAATAGGCCTCAGAACAGGGAATGTGGCCTGGGGCACCGAATGTGATAAGAAAGAACAGAAGTGAAAGGAGGGCTTAGTGGGGAAAGTGGAAGAGTAGAAGGGCCAAAGAGGGAGGAGGAATGAGACAGGAGACCAACGGGAATGGGAGTGACAGAAAGAGAGACAAGGAAAGACAACGTAGTGTGAGTGGCACTGGCAGAACAGGACAAAGCCGTCAGACGAGCAAGGAAAAGAGAGAGCAAGAGCAGAAGTCAGAGGCCTAGCTAACCCACTTGAAAGCAGGAGGGTCAGGCTGTCTAAGACTCACACTCCAAGACTCTGGCTCTCCAACAAGCCTCAGGCAGGATATCTCCTAGGCCTCTTTTGTTTCTCTAACCCGTGAATGCCGAATCTGGCTCTGCAGGACTGGGAGGGAGCAGGCTGGAATCTGAGTCTCCCTCCATTCGGAGACCCCCGTCTCCACCCAGGGAGCCCAACTTCTTCGGTCAGTCGCGGCCACTTCTTGCCCACTCTTCTGGTCAAAGGCCCAGGCACTGGCAACCAGAGATCTCTTTGACCAGGTAGCTGTCGAGAGCCAGAATCCCAAGCTTGGGGGCCCGGGCGTTCTCGAGGGAGTTGTGCCTTGCACGCCCATGGGGAAGGCAGGCTGGAGCCCTGGGCTACTTCCGAGTGAGGCTTCAGTGGGATCGGTGCGAAGGTATTGCGCTGCTCACACCATCCCCAGCTGGACCTGGCCCAGCCCTCGGGCCAGAGGCCTGATTTTCTTTTGATCGGGAGTCTGGCCGCTCCACTAAGAGGCCGGTGCGAGCTCAGAGGGCCTCTGGGGACCTCCAGCACATAGCTGGTCCCACTGGCGGCGAAGCAGGGGCGGTGAGCCGCCCCCGGCGCGCCCTCCGCCTCGTCCCGCCCGCGACCTCCGGCCCCGGCCGGGGGCGCGCACGTACCCAGGTGGCTGTGGAAGGGCTGTGCCGCTAGCAGCGCCTGCACGCCAAACTTGAGCAGCTCGCCCGCGGCCACGGCAGCAGCGGCGGCTGGCGCAGCGCCCTTGGGCCCCGGTGGCTCGGTGAGAATCTCCTCGATCATGAAGCTGCGGTATCTGTGCGGCCGATGGTCCGCGCAGCCCTCGAGCGGGCCGTAGAGCGCGGCGCTTGGCTCTCCCGACCGCTGCATGTCGACGCCCACGGGCAGCAAGGACGGCGGGGCAGCGCGGGGCTCTAGGCCGGCCGCCTGGGCGCCGCTGCAGGCGGGTGCCGGCTCATGCCCCCTCCCCCGCCGGCCAGGAGCAGCGCTGGTCGTGGGCGGGGGCGCGAGCGAGCTGTGGCGGTCGGACCCCTGGACTGCGCCCCCGCCCCGCGCCTCCGCTCCTCTTTGCCAGCCGCCAGCGTCACCGCCCCGCCCCGCGCGGCCCGGACCCCGGACCCCCACCCCGCCCCGCCCCGCCCGGAGCCGCTGCTGGCCGGGATGTCGGAGCCGGGGTGGGAGGAATGGAGGCTGGCAGAGCCCGAGAGGGGCGGCGTGACTCTCCCCGGAAGGAGGGATGGAAAGCTCTCAGAGAGGCCACGCAGATAGACGGGCATCTGAAAAGAGGCTTTGAGGGACGAAAGGGCCAGAACTAGAAGAGTGAATGGGCCAGAGGGAGACAAGGCAAGGATTCCGAAGATGCCCAAGGACAACGGAACAGACACAGAGAGAAGGGAGTGCGGGAGAGACAGTGGACAGCGACAGGCTGGAGGCAACTGGAGAAGCATGGCCTCAGAGGCGGCAAAGGAGCCAGAAATAGAAAAGAAGGCAGGGACAGGAAAAAGGATGGAAGAGTAAGAATGAAATGGCACAGTCCGAAGCTGTGTAGCCCCAGAGCGTCGGAGAGGAGGCCCCTCGGGTACCGGAAGGAAGCGGCCAAGGGGGTTACAGGCACCAGTACACCTCACGTCACTCTATCATTCCTAGTCTTAGATCTCCTCTAGTCCAGAGAAGAAAATGCTCTCTAATCTCTTATTTGCTTAAATTGTCAAGAATGCAAGGATATATTATCTCGAGTGAAAACTCAGGATATTGATATTCCTCTATTTAGAAGAAGAAACTGGTGCCCAAAGAAAGCAAGACTGAAGAGTATTGCCAAACTTTCTTCAGCATCTGAGAAAGTGGGTACTAGGGCGGGGGGGGTGGGGCGGGGGGGTCATGGAGTGTGCTGAGAATCTGACCTCTGAACTTCACTGTGACCTGTTTCAGTCTCTGGGCTTCAAAGTCCTCAAGATAATTGAAGGAAGCACCGGAAGGCAGGACATCAGGTACCTGATGATCTGAAGTGTAGGCGTTTTGGGTTTTTTCTGGGCACGGAAAGCTGATGTAGATGAATAGCCAAATGGGACTGAAGGGAGGGTGCTTGCCCTGCAGGCCTTCCTCCAACTACTAGTCCCTGGCATCTAACTAACTGGGGTCTAGGTCCCCTCTGCTTCCCTCTGTGAACTCTGCAGGGGTCGGGGAGGGGGGCTTCAGTCTTCTGAGGAATAAAGTTTGCCAAACTCATTGCCCTTGGAAGATGTGACACATAATCTGTTCGGAGTTGTGCTGCTAAACCAAAGTCGGAACCTATTCAGAGGGAGAAACATGGACAATCTCCATCCATATTATTTACAGCTTCCAAAAACCTGCTGGAGGATAAGCTATAAGTTGGTTCTACTGTCTTGACCCTCCCAAGCTCATGGAGTTTCTAAAGCTCCTATGGCACTGAGAACTTGATGCTGGCCCCAGGTGGCTGGAACCTGCCACAGAACCTATAGGACTAAGACTTTATGGTGATGTTGAGTACCGACCATTGTTGCTGTTGTGTACCTTGTTTGTGGTGCTGTTGTGAGAGTTGGAACCAACTCATAGCTGATCCTCCAGTGGGTTTTCATGGCATGAGAAAAGATTGCCCAATCCCAGTGGTTGTAAACTGTGTTGTGTGCCTTTGGCTATGGTTCTGCTCCATTCAGAAACTGAGTTTTATCAGGATTGAAGGGTCAAATGGGTCTGAGAGGAGGTAGTGCAGAGCCCACTAACATGCTCTTATTCCTGCCGTAAGCAGGTCCTTAGAGACTAGGATGGGGTGGGGCTATGTCCGTTCCTGCTGGCCCAGCAGTCACCCCAAACTCCCACCAAGCAAGTAGAGAAATAGTATCGCCTGGAGGCCTGGGCTTACCTGGGGCCCCTCCCCATTCTTAGGCTCAGAATGGCCTCTGCCTGGAAGGATTCTTGGCATCACCTAGTGCATTTGATAGGAAACTAAGACCTAGCAAGAAGAGACAAGCTAAGTTAGGTTGTATACCTTATTTTTTTAATCCCTGCCTACATTTGTGAGGCCTTTCTTACCTCTGCTTTCATCATCACCCCAGTCAGGGTCCATCAGCCGTTTATGCATCCCTGCTCACGCCCTGCCTGACAGCCTGTAGGGCCTGAGGAGCCACAGCTTCTACATCCACCACCCTTTACCCACTTTACTTTCAGGGTTAATGATCGACAAGGCTTGTGGGGACAGGAGTTCGTCAGGTGGCAGAGCGAGTCTCTCCCAGACCCTTGGACACTAGCCAGAACTGTTTCCCGGGTTTACTTGCCCAAGCCGGCGAGAGGGGACATTGGAGCAGGGTCTGGAGGGCCTTGAGAAAGGCTCTGCGTGGCGGGAGAGCATTCCAAGAGTGGCTGAAGACTCTTGAGAGACAGGCCCCGCCCCACCCCGCCCTCAAGACCGCCCCCTCGGCTAGCTGGCCTCTGCCCCGTCCCCACCCTGCTGGTCCGGACCGGGTCTCTTAGCCGCCCAGCTCCAAGAGAGAAACCCGGTCCAGGCGAAACACGCAAACAGCTCGGGGGGGGGGGGGCGGGGGGGGGGTTCTCTTGGGAACTGTTGCCTTGGAGACCAGAAAGGTGCTTACAGTGAAGTGGGTCTTCCTTGCCATCCTGGGCACTGAGGTCCAGAAAAAAGAAGCCCCTGGCGGCGAGGAGCCATGGCGGAGCCCCAGGTCAGAACCCAAGTTCCCAGGACCTCTGGCCCTCCTGAGTCCCCCCTTCACCCCAGGGGTGCAGCTGCTGGGCCAGACGCCTGGGACTGGGCCCCGGCCTTCTCAGTCGCCGCTTCGAAAATTCCGGAAACCATTCACTGTAGCCGGATGGAAAAGGTGACATCAGCGCCTGAGGCCCAGCAGCCGTCCCCCTCCACCGCCCCCCGCCCTGGTGTGTGGGGTTTCTTGGAGCCGCCCGGAAGCCGGGATGCGGGGGGGGGGGGCGCAGTGCGCGGATCCAACCCCTTTCCCACCCGGGCGCTCTCCCTGACCATGCTTGGTGGAGAAGATGACTATGTAGAGGGGTAAGGCTGCAAGGTGACTAAAGGGGTTCTTGCCACTAAAGAGTCGAAGTCCCTAGTTTGAGTCAGGACTATGCAGAGTCCAGACCTTGCGTACTCTGACCAGCACCCCAAACCTCCCTTTGCTGAGCGCCTCCTTGAAGGAGAGGAATTTTGCAGCTGCTACCTGCAAAGTGATCTCGGAGATACTGCACAGATGAGAGTTGGTCCGCGGCTAGCCAGACCGCGCTCAAACTTGGCGGCCCGCGACAATTCTCGGCCCTTTCGGCAATTCAAGTTGACCTCGGGCTTGGTCCCCCTCTCCCCAAATCTCTTTGTGCGGTTGCGCATGATTTGTAAAAGTGGCTCCTGGGCGTTTATTGCCAGAGGTAGAATGGGACTTGGGGCTAGGATGAAAGGTGAGGTTTTCCAGAGTGTCAGTGAGAATACCTGGAACACAGCTACAGAAAGAGCGCCCCAAGGGGTGCAGCTCTGCCCAGTCACTCTAGCCCTCCCGCTTGCCCTTCCGGAAGGACCTTGCCGCCGTCAGGGTGGGGCCACACGGTCTCCTCGGGACTGGCTACAAGCTGGCTATGTCCTCCAGCGCTCACACCAACCCTGTCCTTCCCTTCCTCCAAGCCGCCTGTGCTGCTTGCTCCCCGCGCCCACCCTCCAGCCCTGGGGCCAACCAGCCACTGCTAAGTGGACTTGGCTGCAAAGCCTTGTGCGTTGACCGGTTTTGGGTCCGATAATTGTTGTTATGTGCCGTAGAGTCTCCTGAGACTCAAAACGACCTTATGTACCTTATGTACCCAGTCTTAAAACAGCAAATTGTCCCGCCCCCAAAGTGACAGCTCCCTAAGTGACAGGCCACACACACACCCCTCCCCCTGCGTGCAGGGAACAAAGTCCCTTTCTTACTGACATGATTCTCTTTGCGGCTCATTTGTTAAGGAAAACTTCCAAATCTTCTTCCTCAGCCTCTAGAAACGGGAGTCTAGCTTGGGCGGTGTTGTTTCGTTCAGTCTCTGAAAAGTCCGGTTAACAGCCAGGTGGATTGTTGCCAGCCAGTGTACACTTTCGTTCTGAAGGACTTCACCCTCCTGTAAACTCCTGAGTTTCTGGTGTTTGGATGGCACTCCTGTAGATACATCTCTCGGTCTCTTTCCTCCACATTCTTCATCTTCAAGTTATCTGGAAATTGGAACTGGCTCCTTTGTTCTGTGTAGGTTGCTCCTTCCATCCCAAACCCAAACTTTATCTTGAGAAGTTTTATCTGGGCGTTTAATTAAGTTTAAATGGATAGATGATAGATAGATAGATAGATAGATAGATAGATAGATAGATAGATAGATAGATAGATAGATGCTCTGGAACTCGGTGAGGTCTGAGTTTTTGTCCCACTTGGGCATCCACAAGAAAAAGACTGATCATATAATTAAAAAATGGGCAAAGGCATGGAAAGAATTTTCACAGAGGAAGATATTTAGATGGCCAACAGACACATGAAGTAATGCTCAAAATCAGTAAGAGAAATGCAAACCAAAATCACCATGAGATACCATCTCACTCCAGTAACAGTGGCAACGTTTAACAGGACAGCAATTAATAAATGTTGGAAACGATGTGGTACGATAGGAAATCTTACACACTGTTGGTGGGGTTGCAAAATAATACAGCCACTCTGGAAGGCAGTTTGGTGCTTCCTCAAAAAGCTGAACATAGAAATTCCATATGACCCAGCTATTGCACTGCTTAGAATATAAAGAGAGAATGAGAACTGAGGCACAAAAGGAGACTTGTACACTAGTGTTCATAGCAGCGTTATTCACCATCGCGAGAACATGGAAACAGC